TTTCTTCCCCTCTTTGCAACCTCAATTCTCTACACCAAATTTTGATTCACACTCAAAGGTATTACTCTAATACATTTCATTAATATTAGTAGATTATCTTAGTTTTTAGTTTTTGTTTTAAATCGTTGTTACAACCACGCAGATATATTTGTTTACGCATTTCAGTCTAGTGTGTTTATATATACACGACTATTGAGTCGAACAATGTAGTTTTTCTATTAGTATTTAAATGAATTTAAAAAGTGAGAATAATTTTGCAGAATATAAGTGAAGTGAATACTGTGGTGAAGAAAAGTGGGAGTGAGCCAGCACCAAAAAGGACTCGTAACGAAACTCCATCAACTTTGCCAGCTTTTAAGGTACAATAAGTGCAACTAACCTTTTAACAATAAGGGAAAGCTCTTTAACCTTTTTTTTTATATATCTTTTTCTTTTTTCTTTTTGTTTCTTTTTTCTTTCAGTCCATGAACACTTTGATATCTATCAAATTTATCAAAATGTATTTCAAAACTTTCTTGCATCTTAGGTCAGAAAGGAAAAGATGGGAGACAGAATCACTGCACTCCAACAATTGGTGTCTCCTTTTGGAAAGGTTGTTAATTAAATTATTCCAAGTGAAAAAAACTTATCATTTTTTTATTTTGTGAATTTATTTTTATATATACATGATGTATTATTATTATTATTATTATTATTATTATTATTATTATTATTATTATTATTATTATTATTATTATTATTATTATTATTATTATTATTATTATTATTATTATTATTATTATTATTAGATGGTTTAATTTTATTGATAAACATTTTAAAAAATGTGTTATTTTTGTCAGACTGATACAGCCTCAGTGCTTTCTGAAGCCATTGAATATATCAAATTTCTTCATGAACAAGTCACAGTAAGTCTCATTATCCATTAATAAAATTTATTATTTATTTTTGAAAACACTAAATTGTAATGTAACCCTAATATCAATAAACTTGATAACATAATATTTTATAGGATTAAAAACTTATTAAACTCAATAACAAAATTTCCATCTTATTTATATGTGCTGTGTTTTTGTTTTTACCAAACAGCTTTTGAGCACCCCGTATATGAAAAGTGGAGCTTCATCAGAGATTCAACAGGTAGAATAAAATATCTTCATACATAGGAATTTATTATTATTATTATTATTATTATTATTATTATTATTATACACATTAATTAATGTTCTAACTTATGCATGTCATAAATGCGAATATTTGCAACTGATATTATCACAACTGTTTTCGGAATAATTTGCACTACAATTTCAGTTCCAGTTGCATAATATGATTTTCCAACCCTAATTGTGTGATAATGCTTTTAAAACATTTTATTAATGCAGAACTCGGGTAAATCAAAAAAATCCGAGGGCGCAAAGCAAGATCTAAGAAGTCGAGGTCTATGTTTGGTACCAATTTCAAGCACATTTCCAGTGACTCATGAAACAACAGTTGATTTTTGGACACCAACATTTGGAGGAACATCAAGATAATTAATGAAGCCAAAACCCTACAACTAGGGCATGCATGTATGTACCTTATCAAACCTAACCGAGTTGGGAATGATAAGATAAAAGAAAAGAGAAGAAACATGAAAAAAAGACAAAGAATGCCCACTTAAAATGTAAAGTTAGTTAGTTCTAATGAGGAAAAATGGAAAAAGAGAGTGGGGGAAAAGGAAATTTTTTTAGTTGAAAGAGAAAGAAAGAAAAACAAGTGACTCTTCAAAAGATACTTATTGATGGGCCAACTACATTTAGAATTATTTAGGGTTTGCAAAATATTTGGGACCATTTAGAATTGTAATAATTGAAGTGTTATGCTTACAAGTCTACGATTAAGATTAGGAATGGGAAAGTCGATTAAAAATAGAGAGTTTAAAAAAATAAAATTAGATTTAACGTAATGAGAGAAAAATACTTAGATTTTACGTGGCGACTACAAAGTTATTGAATCAATATCTAAATCTATTAGAATTTGATCCAAAAACTTTGCAACAACTGCATTTGTGTATCAGTGACTTGCATTAGTTTTAAATTTAAAATATTTATTATTTAGTAGTGTTTATTTTTCATTGTACTTAATTTTAGTGTTATTTGTACTCGCTATTTTATAAACTCATTTTTTAAATTGATTTTTTTTTATATTTTCATTTAATTTTTTTTGGTTGCTACATTTTTTTTTTTGTGTTTTTTAAAATGTATTGATGGAAGAAAATAAAGGAGGTGCTTTACTAATTTTTGATGCTATATACATTGTGAATAGAGCTGGCACTAACTTTAGCTCAAGAAAAAAAAAGGAAATTAATTTGAAGGAATCATTGAAAAATAGAAATATTAAGTAGAAGGAGTAAGTGAAGGGATACTTCATTTGATTGGAAATCTCACTTTTATTTGTGGAATCATTGAAAAATAGAAATATTGTAGAAGGAGTAAGTGAAGGGATACTTCATTTTATTGGAAATCTCACTTTTATTTGTTTATATCATTGGAATAAGTAAGTGGAAGTCAGAGGGGGTCCACACATTCTTACTTTAGTTTTTTAAATATTTTTTCAATTAAAATGTTTATTATTTTGCACAAGAATTTAATTAGAAAAAGATATTTATATTTTTTAGATGCTTTTTCCACATGCTTTATGCTTTATACCGAATGGCCACACATAGGGGCTTCTATTGGAAGTATGTGTATAAAGAAAAAAAAAATATTAATCATCATTATTTATATTATATCCTAATTTTTTTTTTTTGAAGAGGACACATATGGTCCTAGTTTTGAATAAAGTATATGCCCGTCATTATCAATTTTGTTTTACTTTCTAAAATAAACGAAGACTCTAGGAGAAAATCATATAAACCTATATAAAAAAATGTTTATGCTTAGGTTTAAAGAAAGTATATTTTCTACTTCTAGGATTATCATTAAAAGGTAATAATTACTTTAAGATAAAGCAAAGATTAATTTTTATGCACTTAGAAATAAAAATAGATTGGATTTAGATATTTTCGTCACACTTATATTCTATATTAAATTATAGAGAATATGACGAGTTCTATTTCATATTAATGGTCTAGATTTAATTTTCAGTGATATTTTAGGATATGAAAGATTAATAAATTTTGCACTAAACTTTCACCGATGGAAGTTGGCCTTTGAAATATCAGGATATGAAATGATCAACAAATTTTGCACTTAGCTTTCAATGATGGAAGTTGGCCTTTGAAATATCCAGAGTCTCGTTTTTCATTGAGCTTTCACTGGTGGAGATTGGCCTTTGAAATACCCTGAGTTTTATTAGAATAAGTAAGACTAGTTTTAATTTAATAGAATAAGAAAGATCGTCCTTAAATGTAGAACTTAAATGTTCAATTTTTCTTGTATAAATAGAGCATCATACTCCATTTTCAAAAATTAGTCAAAAACAGTTTCACATTATATAAATTTATGTATCTATTATGGTATTCAAAGCTTATTTTGCCACCAACGTGGCTTCATAGATCCTTTTTCTCATAGATCCTACATTTTCGTCTTTCGCTACAAACTCGTCGTGTTTCTCTATTGGCGAGTTCGTCATCACCAACACTCTCATCTACGACATCGACTATTCTTTTGGCTACTTTCAACTACAAATTTACAGAAAAATTAGATGATAAGAACTATCTAGTGTGGTTTGCAGCAGTTGAACCGATGCTCCGAGCGCACCGTCTTCATCATTATTGTGTTGCTCCACGAATTCCTGACCAGTTCTTATCGGAAGCAGATCGTCCAGCTGGTAACATGAATCATGCATTCAATATTTGGGAAGTGCAAGATCAATTGCTCCTCTCGTGGCTTCAATCGTCACTTTCTGCATTGCTTCTACCTAGCATCATTGGCTGCAGTCACACGTGGCAGCTTTGGGATCAGATTCACCATAATTTCCATTCTAAAGTCAAGGCACAAGCACGACAACTGAGATTTGAGTTACGGACACTGAAGAAAGGTACAAACACTATTACTGAATTTGTTTGCGTCCGCGAAGTGCACAGAAATATCAAAGTAATATAAAAGATTGTCGAACCATGGAGACCAATGTCAACCTACCGTAATCTATCGTCACTTTGTAAAGCTAAGGCTAATGAATAATTGATTAAGGGGAACAAAAGTACTAAATGCTAAAGGTTTGAAAATAATACTAAAACGAGGTCGGGATATGATTTCGCGTTCCTGAAGGACTTATAGAAAACAAGTACTAATAATGACTATAACTTAGTTCCGTAGAATATACTAACTTAAAGACTTCGTCTCACGCTATCGCGTTATTAACTAAAGCCATAATTCCTAGTCCCAAGATTTTTCTCTCGCTCGCCCGGGTAACTAAGAAATATATTTCAAAAGCCAATTATATTTTAAACGTCTCTAAAGCGCTTTCGTTGTATTTAGATATGTTGCCTAATTTCGCACTATCCGGTTCGCTCCTCACGCTCTTGTGGTCTCGGCTTAAACCTTAATTAATTTCCCACTCTCGTGGCAAAATCATGTTAAATAATCTTTCACTCTCGTGACAAGGCTATTTAAATTAGACATGGAAATTAAAACCAAAATAGAATTCTAATCATAAATTTGCACCTATTATTTTCTATCGAGTTTGTTGGCAACAACAGTCCTCATACACCGGACTTAAGACTATTTAGCCAAAAATGTTACTAATTAAAAACACATGAATAATTATAGTTACGATTAAAAACGACATAGCAATTAAATTTAAAAAACAAAAATAGTAATAATAAATAATGCGATAAAAAAGAATAGCAATGATAATAATAATAAAGCGGTATAATGAAGAACCTGTAAATGCAGAAAATGGAAACAAAGAAAACTTGAATTGAAATAGCCGACAAACTTAGATCTGATACATAAATTAAATGGTAGAAATAAATCCTATAACTTATTTGGTAATAGTCCCTCTATATGGAGAACTATTAACTTTTACATTCTAAGAAAAAGCTATGAAGGAAAAATGATTGAAAAATAGACGAGAGAGAGCCCTATTTATAGCTTTGGAGACGCGCGGGAGTTGGGATATTTTCTCCTCGGAATTTCCTTCGGACTGAAGAAATCTCAGTGTAACGGTCGTTACACTCCTGAACTAGGGGTAAGGCTTCTGTGGCAGGGGTGTAACGGTCGTTACACTCCTGCTTTTGAGGAAAGGCTTGCGTGGGAGGGTGTAACGGTCGTTACACTCCTTTTGGCCAATGTGTAACGATCATTACACTCCCTTAGGTCAATGTGTAACGGTCGTTACACTCCCTTAGTGGATTGGGCCAGCGCTTCTTTTCTTGGGCTTTTTGCTTTTAGTGCACCCTATTCTACCACACACCCCTCAATTGCATAATTGCTCTTGATTAGCTTGACTTTTCTCGACTTTCTTCGCACATGCCTTGCAAACATCAAATTCCTGTAAACATAGAAAATACCAGCATAATACGAATAAAGAGTAATTTAATTAATTAAAGTAGATACATAATTTATGTTAATCAAGCCAAATAAACTATACATTTCCGTGTTATCAAATACCCCCACACTTAAACCATTGCTTGTCCTCATGCAATCGACCAACACGGTAAAAGGAATGATAAGAGAGCTTTGAAATAAGGGCACAATACGACTCATAATCATACATAGTTTCTAGGCTAATGTTAGTTTGATAGGTACTAAGTATTCAATACCAAGGATACTGTAACGATACAATGTTCAAAGACTCCCACTTTATGCAAACCAATTCGAATCATGCCATTATAACTCAACCTATATCCCTCGTTTTTATTTCACTCTATTCATTCAAGATCAATCACATTAAGCCCGTTATCTGTACACGCACATAGTAGGGGAAATCGGTTAGCGACTATGATCCTTTTATTTTCTTTAGCACGGGGTTCTGGTATTTAAGCGGTGTAACCCTTTTTCCCAACTGCGGTTGCGGGGGATCGGACCGTAGCCCGCCCTACCAAGTCCAGTACCAATGACCTCTGGACCAACCAACAATGGGTTCTTATTATTAAATTCTTACAGGCTTAACAACCGTTGGGCTAAATGACCGGGTGAGGGGTCACCTAACTTAGAAGGTTATTTTCCAATTAAATCATTTATTTATTAAAAATAGGATCATTCACTTATATTCATCGACTGCCTACGTAGTTTGTGTTTAAGATGGTGTTGACTGCTAATATAAACTACTTAAGAGCTACTTTGAAAACTTAAGCCTAAGGTCTTGACATAATGGGTACCCAAATTGATATCATATAATGAGGGATTTAGGGTGTCATAGCGGTATCGATTTTATCGAAACTTTCCCAAGTCTCTCTAACAAAGCCTAGACAACCTATAAACTTTCAGAGTGTGGTTCCGTGAAAAAAAGAAAATTTTTGTTGGAGGCTAGAGTTTTAAAAATATGTGGAAATTCGAGAACAACTGAAAACAGGCGTACAGACTTCACAACATATGCTATGACTCGA